CTTAAAAGACATCCCTCGTATAGCAAAATACATGCTTAAGTTGAAAGGTCTGTTAATTCGTTTCGATAAAATAAAGGTGGGCTTTTTAAAACAAATGTTAACATTTTACATTGCTATGCAGCTGATTTTTGACGTTTAAGGTGGCACGTTTTTTTTCCAACTTCCTGTTTGTAGCAGTATTCAAAATCCTTTTCATCTGATAATTTCATGGTGTGTATGATGACTGAAAAACAAGGTTTTCATTTCCTTTTGTCAAAAAATGCATTTTGTGTGCATTTGATTGTGTATTTCTTCTTTAATCGGAACTTGTTAACAAATACAAATACAGCTCTGAAATTGTGTGTGAATATTCCTCTTTTATGGAAGAATGAAACTAGTGATTACTTATGTTCTTATCACTTTTCCTTTTCGAAACTTGCTGCGAGACGAGGATTCAAGAAAATACAAAGATTTCTCGAAAAGGGAAAGTGATAAGAACAAAAGTAATCACACGTTTCATTCTTCCATAAAAGAGGAATATTCACACATAATTTCATAGTTTTACTTATATTTGTTAACAAGTTCCGATTGAAGAAAGAACGCACAATAAAATCCACAAAAAAAGCATTTTTTGGCAAAAAAAAATGAAAACGTTTTTTAGTCATCTCTATATACACCATTAAATTATCAGATGGAAAGAATTTCGAATACTGCTGCAAACAAGAAGTTGAAAGGAAATCTGAAAAAAGGGACGTGCCACCTTAAATCAACTCTAAATGAATAGGTGTTGTTGTTAACAATTAAAAATAGCCCGTGGTAAGACTGTTTCTGATGAAATAAGGAAAGTGATCCATCACTTGCATTTAAAATCCCAAAATGCTTCCCAAATCGATGACAGAGTTAATAAATCGAGATATACGGTTCGAAATATTAAAATGAACAAAACAACGGGATCTGTGCCTCAAAAACCCAGAACTGGAAGTTGACCGCGTTATTCCAATACCAACTTAAGCGCCTTAAAATGGAAGGAAAATCGGTGTGCTAATTATAACGATTTGAAAATATAATGGAATCAGGCAAACACAAAAAGTTTTCAAGAGCAACTTGTCACAGAGCAGCCCAAAAACTTACAAGGTAAGCTTAAATTATTTTTAATTCGTTTTTAATTAAGTATTTCTAGGCAAGAAAAGCCCTTACTGACAAAGATTCAGAAGAAAAATAGACTAGCGTGGGCGAAAGAACACAAATTATGGTCTCCGAACCAATGGAACTCAATTATTTGGAGTTATGAAGCCAGATTTGAAGTAGGTATGCGTTGCTGATACTACTGAGTCTTGTCATAAAAACTAAAGAATGACTGTCTTAAAAAAAGTTGAGTTTCTGGCTTCTGTTATGATTTGGGGATCCATGTCAGCAAGTGGAGTGGGGAACTTACACTTTGTGGAAGGTATTATGAATACTGATAAAAACATAATCCCAAATCGAACAAATGCATTTAGACAATATTGAATGTATCTTCCAACAAGATGGTACCGCTTGCCATACGGCTAAACGATGGGATCTAAGAGAACAATGTTTCGCTTTTAAAATGGACGTCCAGTAGTCCAGATCTTTCGCCGATTGAGACCTTGCGTCATATTATGGAGAAAAAGCTCCGATCGAATCCCGCAAGAACCGTTTCAGAATTTTGAACTCGTTTCCAAGAAGTATGAAACGGTATTAGACTAGGTAGCTAGCCAAACATTAGCTGATACTATGTCAAGACGTATTGAAGCAATAATCAGTTGAAAAGGCGATGTAACGCAGTGGTAATTTTCTGATATTTGGTTTCGTTGTTTTTTATTAATCGTCAGTTTTTTTTTTATTTGTATGATATTTTTTCTTTGTTACATAAAATGTATTTTAGGCTAATCGTAAATGAAAATATCGTATGTTATCAGGAATACATTTGACAAATGTTCTAAAAAAAAATTGTAAAGCTTTTTCTTCCTTGGCATACCAATGTGAAATTTTGATCAAGATTCGAACGGAGTTTTGTAGCTAGAAAAGTCTACCAACTGATGAATTCCCTGAAATCAAACTGGAATGTGAAAATACCCCCGGTAGTCCTTAATGTATCTACCAGAATCCGACCAAATCAACGAAATTCACAGATTTCGATTAAATCGTATTTACAATGCAAACACTGGAATATACAGGGTGTTTTAAATTCGACCCTCAGCATTAGGATCTCGAAAACTGTAAGAGATACGAAGTGAGCTCAAAATGGGGACAAAGAAACGTATTTAGATAATTATCAAAGTACCGCATAGAAAGTTTCAAAATCGAATTTTCCCTAAGTTTTGATTTTTTCCTTTATTGGTCGTGGGATTTCAAAATAAATTGCACATTAACATTGCCACTTTTTCTCTTATACAAGATGGAATAATTAGAATTTCAATATGACACTTCGTCTCTTGTCATCCAGCATCAACTTTGTTTCCTTATGGACTCCAAATTGCATTACAGATAAATAGAGTGTTTAATTCTGATCCCAAAAATGTGTTCAAACAAATAAGGTACCAAGCAGGTCACGAAATACCTATTAAAACCCATACGAGGATTAGTATTTCTGGACCTCAGAGCCATACGGTATTAAGTCCAGTTTTCTCACATTTTCAGGTTTTGAATGATACCATGCTATTTTTTCCCGCTCTTTCCATTGGCGTTGAGTATTAAGTCCTATCTGGTACCGTGTATAAAATAAGCCAGTATAAAATGTACTATGTCCAATTTGGTGACGAAGCAAACTGTTTCAAAGTCCCTTGATACTGTTTTGCCCGAGGAAATAGAACTTCCTTTAGTATTAAGTCCGGAGTTTAGGTATTAAGTCCATATGCAAGGTTAAGCGTGTATAGGACTTAATACTTTTAGTTACTTGTTGACTATTGTTGATTACAGAGGTTTGAGTATACAACGCTACTTGATTGCAATAAATAATAATTATACTTTAGAAAGAATATCATCAAAATAGATCAACTATAATGTCAGGTCGAGCTAAGAGAATGGTACAGATGGCTTGCAAAAGCGACGAAGCTGACTGCAATCGTGATTCCGCCAACATAACTTTACTTTCTCACGCAAGCGCAAGTAAGTTATCAATCATTTTTATGGATCAGGATTTATTTCAACTATAGCTTCCAACTAATCTCTGGAGTGAATCAGAAAGTCGTACAAAATAGGGATAGGAGTGGAAATAGTAGGAACGATTAGAATCACAATTTTGGTTTAATAAAATCCTAATCGACATACTTTAAATAATTCGAAATTGGAGAATGGTACACATTCTGGCTCCGCCTACGAGAACCGCCGGGTGGTACCTCCGCGTTCGACAGTCAGAGACCATCTACCACCTACGGACAATCACAACATCCATAGCCAAGAGAAAAATTTATCCTGGGACGGGACTCGAACCCGCACAGCGCACGGCGACTGATCAGGAGACCGAAGAGTCTACTACTGCGGCCACCGCTGCTGCCTAAAACAAACACACAACATCCATGGCGAAGGCGAGATTCGAACTCGCGGCCCGGCCGGCCGGCTGATCAGTAGCACGACACTCTGACCCGCGCGGCCAACCGAGGTCCCATACTACTCAAATTTTACAAAACGATGTTAATAAATTAATTAAATACTCTTTAGATCACAATCTACTTATTAATCCACAAAAATCTAAAATGTTATTATTTTGCGCACAAAGAAAAACATACAATGTAACACAGCTCTTGAACATTCAGATAAATAACCAAATCTTGCAATTTTCTGATTCTGCAAAAATTCTTGGTGTTGTTTTTGATACAAAATTAAGGTTTATTGAACATGTTAAAAGTCTATCTCAAAAAACCTACCTACGGCTGCGCACTCTTATAGCAAACAGGTATTTACTAAATTTTAAGATGCGTAAAAAACTATGTGAAGCATTGGTCATATCTATACTAAATTATTGTTGTTTAGACAATTTCACTAAAAACGTTATTCAAGTTATTCAAAACAATTGTATACGATTCATTTTTGGCTTACGTAAATTTGATCATGTATCGGTGAAATATCCCGTTCTAAACTGGTTAAAAATTAATGACATGGTCAAGTATCACTATTCAGTTTTTGTTCACAAATTGCTGCTCACGTCTTAACCTTATTACTTGAAGGAAAAAATTTCATTTAATAATGATGTTCACTGTAGAACTCTCAGAGAAAATAATATTAGAATACCCCTGCATACGTCTACACTTTTTAAACGCAGTTTTTCTTACAATGTTGCTATTATTTATAATGACCTTCCTAAAGTATATAAAGAATTTTCATTACCTGTCTTTCGACAAAAAGTTAAAACATTATTACTCAACCCTCCAAACATATAATTTACGTAATCATTCATTTCTTTTTTATTCCATATTTAATTCAGATTAATAATGTTTTGGTGCATTTGTTTTTGGAAAGTATGCCTTTTTAAATTTTACTTTGGATGTAATGAACCAAATCTGTTTGTGGATAGTGTATTCTTTTGAACATCTGCTAGAGACTATATGGTTAAGTGTAAGAGTAGCAGCAGGCTAAACTCCGCCATATAAGTCTGACATTTGTCTATACTACAATGTAATTGTGGATAAATAAAGACGTCTATTATTATTATTATTATAAGGAATCATGTTCTGAAACCAACATACGGGTTCTGATGGTTGATTTACAAAAATGTTTACCTACGCCTTTGCTCAAAAATTCGCAAAGCTTTTATTTACTGAAGCTCTGGACATTCAACTATACTGTGTACGATAGCTCACAGAAGTCTGCTTCTTGCTTCATATGGGACGAATCCATAGCTGGACGAGGTGGCAATGAGATGGCTTCTTGCTTAATGAAGCATGTATCAAATCTGCCCGATAGCTTTGACGATATAGTGGTATGGAGCGACAATTGTCCGTCACAAAATCGAAATTTACAAATGGTAATGTGTTATTTTCTGATGCTGCAGGTGAAGAGTCATGAAAACCTCACCGAAGTTTTCCATTATAACTTCATGGGACTGGCAACAGCTCATACGACTCTGTGGCCCAAAAATAGATGTGTCTGAAATGGAACTACTTGATTTCAAGAATTTCAACGATCTCCAAAGTAATGCCAGATCTCCTATGCAACCGAAGAAAAAAACTAATACTGGACACCCCTTCTTGATTTCAAAAGTAGTTCATATGAAGTTTTTTGCTGACTCAATGGGAATATTATACTTTAAAACCGCTTTTAATGATACAGAATTCAAGCAAGTAGATTTCAACAAATCTGAACCAAGAAAGACAAGGCGAGTACAGAAAAGCGGATCTCAACTTTATATGCCTGAAGCTATTAGAGAATCTATGAGGCCCATTACGACAAAAAAGTTCTTGGATCTTCAAAAGACACTGAAATGGGTTCCCAAACGATTCCACAACTTTTTCAACAACCTATCCCATGGATCAGCCGAAGCAGACGAGGAAACCTAAAGGCTACCCATGGAACTCAGATGAAATATACAAAGACGATTTTTTGTGCAATATTTTCTTTATTTGAATGAAAAAAACCTTATTTTTCTCAAATGTTTTTTATTTATATTTCCCAACATGTAAATTCTCCAACAAAAGTCCAGAACCATAGAGTATTATGTCACATAATTTGATATTATGTCACCAAATATTAAGTCCTAGTTCAGAACCAGACTGTATTAAGTCACATAAAAATGAAAAAATATTGTTTTAATTTAACAGATGACTAGAAAATAAACTCCATTTAATACCAAATTCAACAGCAGTTATCATTTTACGATATACAGTGATTAATTCAACTATGTGCAGTTCTAAGAAAATAATATAGGTAATCAAAACCTTCAAAGTGTTCTCCTGAAAAGTTATATGGAAGTGACTTAATACAGTATGGTCCTGATGTCCAGATTTATACTTTGAACCTAATAATACAAAAACATGCTTTATAGACACATCAACAACTTCTGCGACGAAAACAGTTCAATCTTGACGTAAGGGAACAAGAAGAAGTCGCTGGGTGCCAAATCAAGTCTCAATGGGGGATGACCCATTGAATTACTGTTTTGAGTACTCAAATACTCAAATGTTAGACGACAGACGTGAGAGCTCGCATTTTCTTGATGCAGAATGAGTCGACGGCGCTTGTTGATTTCTCTTATTCCACCAAAGACTTTCGGCAAACAAATGGTTGTGACCATTCGGAATTAACCGTTCTACGTTCCTTCTTAAAGTATTTTGCGAGAGAGGCAACCATTTGTGTTGCTTCGTGCGCGACAGACTTTTGTCGGATTTAACTCATGGTCGATGCATTCCTGTCTTGAAAATCCACCCACGTCGAAAGTCGTAATCAACCAGTTCACAAAAATGTTCACGAGTTAATTTAATTTTTTTACTGATTTTTTTCAAATCACTATCAACAACACAAACCGTGCTCGAATGAAACGTTCTGAGCGTTATGTTTAAAAACGTCAAACTTTTAAATCTAGCCTAACCACACTTACTGTTTACAGTACAGTACATTTTACTTTGCAACCGCCTGTCTCTAGCTAATATTTTTTAAACACCTGCTTGAAAAACAAAACGATTTCCATTTACATTTTTAGCAAGTCTGTAAACTAAAACCTCGATTGAACTGCTGTTCCGTGAAGCGTGACATTTTCAGAAGAGGAATGGAAACAATGTAATAGGTTTGTACGTTGTCAGACGAAAGTGGCTAAAGGTCGTTGGGGCCCCCGATGAGGAGGGGGCCAGCCGCTTCAGCGGCAGTTCCGCTCTGTCGGACTCCACATGTTTTAATGGTCATTGCGTGTCCGTTCCCGCGAAACCTGCTAACGCCGAGTAACGTGTCTACAACTGAAAGTCAAACAAGGTTGTAGTACTAACTTCAGCAACAAGTTTGCTGATGTTTATGAAGCTGGGGTATTTCTGTCTCATTGATAAAAATATGGACGCAGGAAAGTAAACGCATATTAAAACAAGAAAGATTTGAAGGTTCATTTATACCATTTATGTATGAAAAATAATATCGCTCAAATGTTCACTACGACTGGATTTACAGACGTCCAGGCCATGGTCGAAATTTTCAATGACATTTTGCAACATAGTTCTTGGAGGGTGGCTCGTTTGCTTTTCAAATATCCCCATAAAAAGAAGTCCAAGGGAGTCAAATCGCACGATCTTGGTGGCCAAGGCACATTTCCTCTGCGCGAAATCACGCGATCACCGAAGAAGGACTACAATCGATGGATATTGACGTTGGTTGTGTGGCATGTTGCACCGTCTTGTTGGAAATAAACATCGTCCATATCCATTCCTTCAAGTTGCGGCAAAAAATAGTCCTCTATCATCACTTGATATCGCTCAGAATTGACGGTAACGGCGTCCCCGGTCGCATTTTCGGAAAAGTAAGGTCCGATGATGCCTTTTGACCACAATGCACACCACACAGTCACTTTTTGAGGATGCATCAGCTGCTCTTGATACTCACGGGGATTTTCGTTCGCCCAGATGCGGCAGTTTTGCTTGTTTACCGTCCCATTCAAAGTGAAATGCGCTTCGTTGCTGAACATGATTTTTGATGAAAAATTGGCATCAATTTGGCGGTGTTCAAGGAGCCAATCTGAGAACGTTCGGCGCGAAAAATTGTCGGCCCGACGTAGCTCTTGCGTCAATTGGATCTTGTAGGCGTGTACATTCAAATCCTTGTGGAGAATGCGGAGCAAACTGGTTCTCGAAATGCCCAATTCTTGGGATCGACGCGTTGTTGATTGTTTCGGATCGTCTCTCACACTCTCCTTCACAACAGCAATATTTTCCGGTGTGCGAACGCTCCAGAGCCTGGCAGATTTGCCACAGAACCTGTTGCCTCGAATTTACGCACCAGACGACCGATGGTTGTTTCGTTTGGGCGGTTGTTGCGACCGAAATGTTCACGAAGCGCGCGAAACGTGTTTTTTATTTTTGCACCATTTTTGTAGTGCTCTTGAATAACTTTAATGCGGTCTTCAATCGAATACGACTCCATAGCGATCAATGGTAAACATTCAACTAACAAAATGACAGAAAACAAAGATGGCGTCTATGTCAAATTGACGTTTACTTTCCTGCGCCCTATTGGACAATCCTTTATTTCGAGAACAACAGGGATTACATTTAAAAAATTATGCTCATTCATGAATTATTCACGGTTTTCGATTCTACTGATGTGCTAATACTGTTTAAAAACATGGTGTCATGTAATCTTTTTTAGATGAAGAACAATCATGACTATGTCCACAGTAAAGCAACAGGAGCACAAACAGAGGGATTGGTAACCCGAGCGACGTGGATGTGCATCGATAACACCGAAATGCTCTTGATCGCTTCTAGTTCTGTACCTCAGAGCCAGACTAGGTTAAGACTATTTTTGTCAAAAATGAGTTTGATATGCTAAGCTTATGATAATATTGTTAATTTTCACTTGCTACATGCAGCATCCATCTATCTGTAATAATAAGGAAGTTACGACTTTTTAACTCATGTCAAGTCGCATACAATACAATGCAAGAAAAATATTTCAAATACCGTTATCTCAAAACTACTTATTTCCACTGGCTCCGAATAACAGAGTTACACCAGTATCCAGATATGATGAGGATCTGTTTGTACCTCTTGAAGCCAATAAGCAAAAACGTACGTCACTCAGGCTACCAATCCTTTTATTTCTGCCCCTGTTCCTTTATTGCGGACATGCTCACGATTGTTCTTTATTTTTCATTCGATCAAGACTACTCGTCCATCTCTTATAGATAGCATAATATTTTTAAAAAATTATAAGAATTTCAGCAGCTACTATGTTTGAAAGACTTTTGTTAACAACAGGCCATATTGGTGAGAAACATTGCTGATGACTCGCAAACTGGTTAATGATCCGTCGATGACTAACAATTTCGAAATTTTATTGTTTTTTTTTTTAGATTTTGCACCTTAGAATCGGTAAAACTTTTCTTTCATTTACACCATTGATTCCCAAAGTGGTCTATATCGACCCCTAGGGGTCTATGAGAACCTGCAAGGGGTCTACGTCAGCGAAAAAAATTTGGAGGTCCATGAAATGAATGGGGATCCACGAAAGTGGATCTCAACACATACACTGATAGTACCTATTTACTTACATCATACTATCTTATGTACCTATGAAGTAAAAAATGTATTATATATGTTTATAAAATTGTGTAAGTTGTAGGATGTTGGTATTCGCTTTGTGACCGCAATACATTTTGAACTTGTAAAAACCAGAGAGTCGCAGTCTCAGAGCTTCGCTACCTTGCACTGACTTGTTCAATTCGTCACTCTATAAATGGCTGGTGGAAAGTATTACCTAGCTCTAAAGAAATACAAAAATATTTTGTGAGATCATATCTATAATAAAATTACTTCCATCAAGTCGGAATGCATGACTTCTTGGTTGATCATCCATTAAAACTGGATACTCGCTCAAGTGCCTCCTGAACGTGTACAGTCTGCTAAAACCGAAAGATCGTCAGCTTTGGCCTAAAAGACAAATTCTTTAAAATAAAGTAATCTCAAAATACCCATCAGGGTCGTGTAAGGCCAGGTTTGCTCTATAATTAAGATACTTGGTGACTTCAAATATTGGAATTCTTAAGCATTGAGTATACCCATTTTTTGGATTTTGAGGCATTAAGTCGTTTATCACTCAGAAAATAGTCAGCTTAAGAAAAAAGATAATGGAATACTTTTTTGTTCGAAATGATCCAAAAAACGTTAAAAAAATGTCCAGACAAAAACCTGTATCTTACTTAAAATTATTTAAAGAACTGAATTTTATCTGGGTTACTGTGCGGGTATATTCAATGTTTAAAAGCTCCGCTAAGAATTACCATATTTGAGGTTACCAAGTCTCTGAACTAAAGCTAAGGCCTTACTCTACAAGACCCTGAGGGGTCTTTTTAAGATTAGTTTATATTAAAGCGATTTAAACCTTGTTTTTCAGGCCAAAATAGACTCTACATGTGTACCTTTGGACGGGCAAAGACGGTGAAATAGTGTTGTGTCAACAAGTGTCTACTCGGATATGGAAATAACAGGGAAATCTACATATAATGTATTTATAAAAAGTTCCATGAATATGCAATGGTACAAGCCGGTGTGGTTTGTTATTGTTTTTGTTGTTCAGCCACATGTGCGGCTACAACGATGGGTCGCTGTTTTGACCTTCTGCCAACAATGAGGAGGAGGAGTTTCCCTGAGTCAAGCTTTTTATCCATAAGTACTATAAAAGTTTTGCTATATGACTTAACAAACGGACGCAGGAGGCTGCACGTTGGACATGTCCATGCGAGCACGTTGATTTGGTTGTTCATTCATACTGACAGTGTTAAGTGCGGACTATGGCATCGTGGTCACTTAGTGAGATAAGGGCAGTTTTACGGTATAACTTTACGCTTGGTTTAAACATAGAC